GAGTGATTTACTTCTGCAAGTCTAATAACCATACAACAGAATAACACAATGAAGGACGATTTCATAAATTACACAGAAAAGGAACCACTTGATCCTAGTAAGTTTTTCGGTTAGTTATTTCTTATTTTGAATGTTAGGCTAGTTGTTGGAAGGATGTACTCCATTGCCACGAAACTAAGCCACATTTTGAATCTTGTCTGGTAGCCATGAGGGATTTCTATGGAAAAATAGATCAGCCCTCCCATCGTTCTCCACAAATCATGCTACTCTGGCTATTAAGCTTTCTTCTGTGGTGTGTTTACCCAGCGAGTATGGATGCTTCTTGGGGAATCTATGTGGAGGAAACAGCATTCAGAAAATATTCTTAGCTAGCACTGAATACATGTATTCTGTTTTAACTTAGTCACAGAACAGACTGGGTGTAGCTCTGTGTGGCCTTTCTACCAACTTAAGTGACCTTGGTGTGCCTAGTGAGGCACTCTAACTTAAAAATAAGTAAGGCTCCCATCCTGCGAGCATTTATGCACATGAAAAGTCCCATTGAGTTTCAGTGTGGCTGCTCACATGCCTAAAGTTATTTACATGCATCAGAAATGGGGCCTAAGTATGCAAATACTCCACTATGTGAGTCAGGAACCAGTTAACTGCATTTGAATTGTTCTATAATCAAAACAAACATAATAGTGTCCTGTAAGTCTCTACAAAGGTGTTCTAAAAACTAGTGTTGGAAAACACAGTAGTTATAGTTCAGGTTGAGATAGGATAGACAGCTGGTGTGTTGTGACCATCTTTTATCCTATAGTTCACAGTCACCTCGCTATTCTGTTCTGATTCCGCTGCCTGTTTCTTTCATCCACTTGTTATTTCTCATCTTATTCTTTGATTATAAACTCTTTTGGGCAAAGAGCCTCTTTTTTGCTTGTGTTTGTACAGTCATAGCACAGTAGGGTTGAGGGCTGTAGGTACTACTGAAATACCGACAAATAATAAGATGTCTATTCCACCATAAGTCCCCAATCCTGCAAAGACAAAGGCCTGGTCCACACCTAAAAGTTAGGTCCACCTAACTACGTTTCTCAGAGGTGTGAGAAGTTCATGCTCTTGCGAGACATAGATAAGCCGACCTAAGCCCCAGTGTAGACACCATTAGGTTGACAGAAGAACTCTTCCATCAATCTAGTAGGTGGATTCACTAATCCCTTCCATCATTGTAGTAAGTGTATGTGCTACAGAGAGCATAGCTGCAGCTGTGCCCCTGTAGCACTTCTAGTGTAAAGATACACTTAGGGATACCCTCAGTTTTTGCAAGACTGAGGCCCAAGTTAGTCTTTAATGACTTCCCTTAAAATTAGTTTGTTTGTTCTCAGCTTGGATGTGATTTTGGGGGAGGAAAAAACTGAAAGTGATTGAGCTGTTTCAAGAGCATGTGAAAAATGTAGTTTTCCTGCTTTAAAAAAATCAACTGTTTTGGTGGTCTAATAATTCAGAAAGGGATTTAATATGCTTCATAAGAAGCTGACTTAAAAGACCTTACTATTTGTGAAAGCAAAACCTACTTTCCCCTCCACAGAATCTGCAAGGAATGGCTATGGCAATCCTACTTTCCAACATGATGAAAAACCTGAGCAAAATGACAAATTACAGAAGAACAAGAAAAAGTAGGGGTTCCTTGATCTTAATACATTGTTAAATTTCTTACCCTGCCTTTCAAGAAAAGGCCTGGATTAATTTTGCATTAATCT